GAATACCTCACTTACATCTTTCCCTGAGAGTTGTAACCAATGAAGGAAGACAGAGATAACAAATGCGGATATCAACTTTACTAGAGGATACAACGTAATTACCAAATTTTAGAACTTCCTATTCAAGCCAGACCTTCCCCTCTCTAGAAAGTGAGTGTGAGTCCTACTTGGGGACAAAGAGGCAAAAAAGAGCACAAGGCCTTCTGAGTTACCCCTACAGTGGGCATCAGAAGAAATGTCATCTCCCAAGTTTAGAGGTATAGTCTCAGGTAATTTTTGGACTGCTTTCCATTTCGTACTGTATTGCTGATTGGCCAGAGATACTGGAGTACTGATTAGATTAATTAAATGATATTAAAATGGTTCTACTTTGTAGGAGTAGAAGGAGATGGTTAAAGGAACTTGATTAAAAAAAAAAAAGTTCCTCCAGCCTCAAACGACGTAACTGCAAAATATGGGACTACATTATGCATATGAAAAAATTAGCTACCTTTTTCAAGAACAACAGTTACTATTTTTAAATGTATTTAATTGAATCATAATGTGCTACATTTTTATAACACCCTATATAGCATTGTCAAATTATTTTTATCATAGTTTGCTTGCAGTTCATACCAACTAAACTGTAAATTCTCATATTATTGTTACTGTTAAAGATTCAAATGATATAAAATATGAAGGATCCATGGGATTTATTATAGAATAAAACAGTCTGACCTTTAAAAGTTGCAATATAATATTAGACATTGTTAATTTTGGTAAATCAGTTTGAATGAATTTGATTTTTTAAAAATGTATAATAGCATATCTTCTCGTTGCTGTGTAAATGACCTCTAGGATACCAAATGACTTTGTTGGATTCAAATTTCAGTGATCAGTACAAGATGTTCCCAAGTTACAGCTAGTTATAGTATTTTGGGTAACCTATTCTATTCTTTACCAAAACTGATATCTGGATGTTGGATCCAAATGACACTGTAAATAATTTTTTTTTTTTTTAGTATAACCATATAGCATTATAGAACTTCGAGTCAGTGGTCTGAATATGCTTTTCTTTTAGTTAAAATAGTCTCAGGCACCAGAATTGAAGGAACTCTAGAAATAACGCCACTGTTTTTTCCTCTTACTTTTTGTTTGTTACTAGCAAACCCAGTAAAGCTGAAGGTTTTTGCCCCTACAGGTTTGGGATGAAAATCTTGCAAAATCTGCAGAGGCCTGGGCGGCTACTTGCATTTGGGACCACGGACCTTCTTACTTACTGAGATTTTTGGGCCAAAATCTATCTGTACGAACTGGAAGGTAGGAAGTAGTTTCACTGATGCAGTTCATCTTCCTGACTTTATTAATTATGGACTCCAAGAGAGAATGACACCAATTTCAAGTAATATCAGCAAATATTTATCGAGTGCTCACGATATGTCAGGTACTGATTGATGCTTCATCTATGAGTATTTTAGATGTCTTAAAGAATTATTCAATTAGTTAAAAGGGCCTAATAAGACCAGTTTCCCCTTTCACCGTTGGAACACCCTCCCTTAGCCTGGATTTTTTATTGACTTCGCAGAATCTTAGAAAGGATGGAGCATGTGCTGGATCCTGTCTTCTCTACCTCAGGAAAAAGTCCCATGCCTGTGGCAGAAGCTATTTGCGTGTGTGTGTGTATGTATGTGTGTGTATGCAACTGTCCCATCATTGCATATACCAGAGTATAAATACGTAAATTAATTACAAAATGTATGCATTTACATATATGTACACACACAGGGGCATGCAGGTGTGTGCAATTATGGGAAAAGCTATTCCCATAGGTAGGATAATTGTTCTACCACTGTGGAATGTCATTATCCGACATTCTGAAGACCCATTCTCTTCCATAAAGGGAAGGACAATCAGGAGTGCTATTATTAAAATTTAACTGATTCAAACTTAAGGAAAAAAATGAACCGAGTTTTAGTATTGTGACTACCTTTATGTATCTAATTCTGGAATGCTTATAAAATTCTGATGGTGGAAGTTTTGGACACGGATTAAATAAGATATTGATGATTCCTTATATATTTGCATTTTCTTGTTTTGAAGTGACCAGACACATACATAGACAAATGCAGAATCACTTGCTCTAGTCCTGGCCATTTTCTTGCTTAGCCCTGCTTGGAGGATTAGAGGATTCTACTGGGTGGTGACAGTATTTGTGAGGAATGCATATGCTCTTGAATAATCATGAATAATCTGCAAAAAGAACAATTAATTTACAATTTAATATGAGTCCACTATATATTACTACAGCTCTACTCTAAGTTCTTTTGCTTTTTTTTCTTGGTATCTAGATACCGCTCTATTCTCCAGTTGGTCAAGCCGTGGTATGATGAAGTAAAAGATTATGCTTTTCCATATCCCCAAGATTGCAACCCCAGATGCCCTATGAGATGTTTCGGTCCCATGTGCACACATTATACACAGGTTGTTATAATTTCCTTGTTAATTTTTGATTCATACTTTTAAAAAATGCTCTTACTATTTTGGTGGACATCCATTGTCTCAGCGCTGACTTCAATATATTGGTTTATTTTCACAGATGGTTTGGGCCACTTCCAATCGGATAGGATGTGCAATTCATACTTGCCAAAATATGAACGTGTGGGGATCTGTGTGGCGAAGTGCAGTTTACTTGGTATGCAACTATGCCCCAAAGTAAGTACTGGGTTGGAATCTATTTCCTGGGTACTTTAATGATGTTAAATTCTCCAGGCTGATAGGCATTTTTGACAGGTAAAAAATATGAGTAAGACTTAGCTAAAATGGCCTCTAATCCTCAAATCCACCATCATTCCAATATTCCTGAAAACTGATTAGCTGAAAGTTTTCTTTTCACGAGGACAAGGATTCTAGGCTAAAATTGTAGGCAAAACAATTTGAGACACTGGAGCTCACTAAATACTCCTTACCATCTTTTTTTAGTCACAGTAATGGTAAAATAAACACTGTTCTTCACAGTCTTTTAATAGCTATATAAAAGGCATCGAAAAGGAATCTTCCAGGGAATTTATCAACAGCACAATATTCTCATATATCAGTACTAGAATGTTGGCTTACCATTTTCACTAAAAAAGCAAACCATTGGGTATGAAGTCCTTCTTCCTTCTCTTATATTTTAGATTTTAAAAATAAAGTAATTTCATCCTAGGGTGCACATAAAATGTATTATACAAATTTATGAAAGATTTTAAAATAAGGCTGTATTTATGAACATTCTTTATAATATGAGGATAAATAAACATTTACCAACATTAGATAGCATGCCTTTTTGATAACAATAACACTTTAGATGATAAAATGTTCCAATATTTATACACGATTTCATTCCCACTTGGAATAAATACTAAAATGTGCAAACGATTTATGACACTCTTGGTGTCTTCCAAAGTAAGTCCCAAACAAAGTTTTTCTCCAGCTATTCCAGCATGGGGAGGGAATGTGAAAATGTTTCACAAATAACTGCATTACTCATTTATATGGTAGTATGCCAATGGCAGTGTTTTTACAAAGTTAGAAAAATAGTGATTTTCCCTATGATCCCCTCTTCATAATTATTAGGATGGGAATGTTTAGAAGGTAGACCATGTTTGCATTATTAAAAAAGCATTAAAACTGTGCAATTGTTTGATAATTTTAGTTTCACACTTTGTGTTTTCCTATTAAGACTTTATCCTTTCTCCCTGACATATAAGCCAACTAGTACCCAAATGATCAAAGAGATTTTTGTTTCATTCAACTATTCTACTTTCAGCCAATGGTTAGAATTTGCTATTATTGATGAGACATATTATCAGTTCATAGGTCCAGGAGATTAAGATATTGCATTAGTGTACTATATTTCAGTTGTAAGAAAAGAACTATTTTTCCAGAACCTGAATAATGAAGAAAGTTTTAAGATTCTGACTGGTAGCTGAATATAATTGTTCCAATGCTAGTATGAAGTTGTCTCAGTCTAACTTTTTCAGTGGAAAACAAAGAGAGGGAGAGAGAAAGTGAAGAGAGAAAAGAGAGAGAGAATTTAATTAGATAGAATAGGACAAAAATAAAACAACTGATTTATTGTTGAATATATTATTCTCTATTCAATAAAATCTGTGATTTATAAAAATTTAAAATATAATACAATATGTAATAATTTTACACATAATAAAAGTCTAAGTTCCTGTTACAAAAAACCATGTGCCCCATAATTTCAAAAACTTGTGTAAAATAAATAGAAAAAATATGAAATTAAGATAGCATAGGCTAGGTCCATATACTTTGATAGCTTTGGGTAAATATATAGAGGGAAATAAGATTATAAATATAGAATGCTATGGGATTAGGATAAAAGAGTGAGTTACACTCATAAGATAATGGGCCCCCTTACACATTTCTGAGCAAGCAGGTGATATCATCAAAATTATGCTCGAGGAAGCTTATCCTTAGGGCGGAGTATAAAATAAATTAAATAGAGGTGGGCAGCCTTAAAATCCTGTGTTACTTTGTAATATGAGTAGTTAATTAGCAAGTTTTTCATTTTATAGGTAAATTTTCCTATATAGAGAGTTTATAGATAAAAGTCTGGATTTTTAACTGACTGGTTTAGCAAGATTCTTTATTCTGTAGATACACTTGATGAGTCCCTAGTTTTATTTAGATCTTAAAGAAGAAGGCCACCTGCTTCACATTTTAGCCTCTTACCTATTGTCTTCAACCTGACTGTTCACCATGGATAACCAAATTTTCTCCTGACCACTTTCCTTCACATTGCTGTCTATGTTACTGTTTCTTGGTAGTACTCTAGTTACTAATCACCAAGCTACTGAAATACATTCATTACCTTCTCCTTTATAGTTAAGAGAGCTAAATAACAGGGGGACATCGTGGCTGTTTTTAACTATCCTAAATGGCGAATTTGGTTTATTATTAAGATCATGGCTACCAATACAGTCAAAGAAAAATATTGACAATAGGAAGTAATTGAGTTAAATGTGTTCAGCATTATAAAAAAATTAATATCATTAACTAAAAACTTAATAGCTATAAATTTATATATCAAAAAGATTTTGGAATAATCTTTAATTGTTTCTGTGAGCATTATTCTCTTACTATGAGAATAATGGTATATTAATTTATACCATAATACCACATGCAAAGTTTTCTATATCTTATTTTATGAAGATTGGGAATCTAAAATATTTTATAATTTTAGAAACAAATCTTGCAAATATTTATAACTTAATTTTTGTGTATATGATAACTTCTCACTCATTTCATCATTTTTAAGCGTCCCAGAAAATATTAAAGATTTTTTGTTTGTTTGTTTTGTGTTGTTACCATCCCTGGATGAGCATTAGCATGAGTTTAAACAGAGTAAATTAGAGAGAATGCGGCCTGACTGTGAGCTCTAGAAAGCTGCTGTAGGAGGAGAGAGATGAGTGGAACAAGCCTGGCATCCCGCGACTCATGGTGTCATTATGCATTGTGGGTCCTCACTTCTTACCTGTAAAGTAAGATAATATTAACTTAGAGAGAAAGTATTTAAAAAACAAGATATGTAGAATAAGTTACTGTTGAAATAAGAAGTGGATATAACTTTCAGTACCTTTCTGAAATAACTTCTCATAAAAGGTCATTGCATGTCAATTCACATGAGCATGTGCTTAAGGGCAATCTAAATTTTTTAAATGAGTGAGTAGTACTAATGTTGTCTTTTTTTCCCCTCCAGGGGCAACTGGATTGGAGAAGCACCGTATAAAGTAGGAGTACCATGTTCATCTTGTCCTCCAAGTTATGGGGGATCTTGCACTGACAATCTATGTTTTCCAGGAGTAACATCAAACTACCTGTACTGGTTTAAATAAGCTTAGCTTTTACTCCAGGAAATAGAATGATTTCTGGGAATCATAGGCATGTATATATATTGAATTTTGCACATATTATACATATTTTATGATAATCTTGTTTTCCTTTTAGTATTAATTTGTATAAATTAGTGTTTGTCTAGTATGTTTGTTTAATCCTTTGAGATATTCAAAACCTTCATTTCTATTTTCTTACGTCTAATGCTAAATTAAAATATTACATATGTTGTGATAACATAGTTGATGCATCCAATTCCAAACTTGTATTCCAGAGGAAATATATTATCATGTTCCTAAGGAATAAAATCAATATTTGACCTGTAATGTGTATATGTATATATATACAGACACATACATATATATGTGTGTGTGTATATATACACACACATACACAAACATATGTAATGTAATGCATAGATAGTAATATGATTCAATTATCAATTGTCTGACCACCTCACTTTAGAATAGTACTATTCTAAAGTGAGGTGGTCAGACATCTTTAGCACCCATTTCTGTAATACCTATAAAATACCTATAAAATAACACTCACTCAGTGACATCTGGAAATAATAATTTAATTAAGTAGCCATGGATTTCATTCTGGAGATATTTTATCTTATTTGGGTCCACCAAAGGATATGTTCAACTTATGTAAGTTTTCAAATCAAATGTTTTCCTTAATCTCATTTTATTGAATCAGTAGTCGTGTGTTGAGTGCTTACTACATAAGAGGCACTCTGCTAATTATATTCTGTTAATGCAAAGATAATTAGATATGGTTCCTGCCCTCAAGAAGCTCACAAAAATATTCAGGAAATAATGCAGCCTAGTGATTTTGCTGTAAAGTTATTTTTTAACAAGTTGATTTTCATGTAGTTTTGAGGACGTAAACAGAACGGCATTCACCCATGGGTAGAATAAGCCAAGCTGTGTAATATGTAAGGCTTCTGATTCTCATGCAAATTTAGCTATAGTACTTGGAACAAGAAGGGGAAGGGAAGAATTAACAAATACTTGGATATTTGTGGGGCTGTGACTTGGGAAAGTAGAAGGCAAGACCTTCTGAAAACTGATGAAGTCTAAGAGAAAAAAAATTGGGGGGACAAGCATGAAAAGTCACAGAAATAGGTTTAATTGCAGAAAAAAGACCAGGTGGAGAACTTCACAAGGACCTATTTTGAGGGCCTAGTATATCTGGAGGCCTGTCAGCAGGAGATGAAGGACTCCAGATAGGTGGGGGTGCTGAGGATACCTCCAGCTTTTTGTCATTATTTTATTCTTATTTTATTTGCTGAGAATCAATCTACTTACCATCTTGGGTTATTAAACATCATATTAAAGATACCCTGTGCACACCACATATATATAGTTAAGATTTTGTACAAGTAGCCCTCTTCAGATGCTTTTTCTAAGGAGTAACTACCAAGCTTTATTTCCATGTTTTCTGTAGAAGAAAAATTTTCAGTTCTTCATTGAGTTTGATTATGGAAATCAAACCAAAGTCTCTATGAAAATGTCACTCATGTGATTTGGAAATGCAACATTTCCTTATCATGAACTCTCTTTCAGAGAGAAAAATACAACAAATCATTTAACACATTACATTTCAAATACATGTATGTGTGTTTTATTAAGGTTAGGTTATACTTCCATAGAATTAAAGAACAAGTAAATGTGGTTAGTTCCAGAGTGCAGATAACAGAAGGAAGCTACTTGTTTAAAAGTAGTTTCTACTTTTGTAGTTTCTTGGGGTGGATGCTTTGAAAGATGACAGTTAACTAAATCCATTTAACTGGGAGAAGAATTTACCATCTGGGTCTACTTGATGACAAACAACTGGCTTGATTACTTTTATAAATTGACTATGGTGACCAAATGCTTTCATATCACACTACTCCGCCTTTGTAGACTCTATTAAAAATAAATATTTCTGAAGAATAAAATAGGGAACAGAAGAAATTATATTATTTAGGCCTCATTTCAACTTTTATCTAACATACCTAGGCTCATTAGTGGGATGTTTGCTTGATTTATCTAGAAAGTGTTTCCATCCTCAATTTTACTATTGGTTCTAGAGAAATAGTAGTAAGTACTCTTACAAAGATGATGATCATTGTTAGTTCCAGTTCTGTTGCTGGTTTGCTTGTCTGGCTTGATTTCTCAGTAGTTCTAAAGAATAATAATGATATTTGCTACATATTTTACAGAGTTTCTTATGAAGGTAAATTTACCATATTAATAAAAAATTATGAATATTAAAATTATCAATTATATTATGAAATTTTATTTTAGATAAAGTTAAGTTTTTCATGAGCCCTTTTTTGGCAGGAACTCTGTCTAATTCTTTGCATTTTTCTCAGCTTCTTATATAGTGGCTGTAACATAATAGTGTTTAATAAATGCTTATGTGAATGGATTTTTAGAATTAGCTAAAAAGTCTAGAATTGCAAAAATTTAAAGAAATCCCACCTTCCTTTCCATGCTTTATTAAGACAAAAATGTCTTAAATATAAAGTCTTGATTATATCAAAAATCCAGATAAATCCTCACATATATCAGATTAAGACTAGGGTCTACACAATTACGTAACTGTTCTTTCCAAACCACGACTAGAACTATAAGTTTATTTATAATTTAACAACTCAGCTGAACATATAAAGGGTATATTTGTTATTCTATCTCTACTTTTTAAAGTTAGTAATATAAAGTGGCCATGGGAAATATTTTATTTCCAGGCTAAAGCAAATGAAAATTTGCTAGTATCAACACAGTGTGTCATATTTTTCACAGCATGCAACAATGGTGCTAGGAAAGTTATTTCTCACTGTAATTCCCAGAGGCAGAAAGGGTCTGGGTATAAACTATTTCATAAGAGCAGCTTTAAATAGTCAGCATTGAGGTTTTCATTTGGAAAGGTGCCATTCAGAAGAAATAGTAATTGGCATACATATTCTACAGCATTGATCCTCTCTATGGTGTAGATTTTTTATATCACCCCTTAGTCAATAGAAAATTTTTTTTAATTGTCAGAGTATAGGTTTTGTGGCTTCCATGTCATCATAAGACTGAAAAAAATTACAATTTTGGTATTAAACTGACAGATTTCTTTATAGAATTATCTGTGAGTTGTGTAGGCACAGTCTTAATGTTTCTGGTTATGATAGATAAATTTGCTTTAGAAATGTGGAAGAAACCATTATTATTATTATCACTTTTGCTTCTGTTTGGTAGTCTAAGCATTATTACTTCTGTGGTCTATGAGAGCTGCCCTACAATTTCATTTGACAGTGCTATAATATTCATTTGAAATGTTCGTGGAAACATTCATTTGAAAGTTCCAGGCAGCGTTAGCACAGAATTGACCAAACACTATGGCAAGTTCAACCAATACCATTTACACAGAATATTTGAATTGAAGCAATATGTATTTTTCTCATTTATACGTGCTCATGTTAAATCAATTTATAACATCTACATAAGTAAATCTAATACATACTTGAGCCCATTTAAGTGTTTTGTGTTCATACGCTGCTTATTAAATACATGGACAAGCAAAACAGATAATTTGAATGTATCTCTGAAGGAAAAGTAATGCTTAGACTTTGGTGTATGTTCTCCCCTGTGTAACCACATACCCTTAGTTCTGAAGTAGGATGCAACCCTTGATGTAGATGGAAGCCTTTACCTACCAAAGTGTTTAGGGAGAATAAGGTTACAGTTGTTTTGATGTCTAACATTCTCTTTTCTAAGTTTTATTTTACATTACCATTATATGTGTGGGTGAAGACACACATAATCACATATAATCATTTAAACACATACAAAATAATTTTTAAAAATTATGTCATGGTCTAACTTTGAATTTATGAGAGATCAATGAATAGCTTAGAAGGTTCAACAATTCACTGGTTAATGGTGCTGAAAATACGTTACAATTACCACGTATCCTGCTACAATTTTGAAGTTTCTTAGCCATTCAAGTTTTTATAAGTGTGAATTATCAATACCTATTCTGGTGCTAAATAGATGGTGCTAAATAAATTATTAGTGTTCATGGTTTTAGTAATACTTCTTTTATTCATTGTTAAAAGTGTCATCCATTTCATTCCTGAGTCAGAAATATTAACAAAATCCTATGTTAAATTAATCTTCACCAAAAATAGGCCAGTGAACTCTGTTTTTTTATATACCAGTACAACATTATTTAGGTGTTACAGAATGTAAATATATTTCTCTAGAAGTTATCAATTTTCTTTTTTAGGGCATTTATTTTTTTAGATTGGCAATGTCCGAATTGAAATACGACCTAAAGGTCAGATTATACCTGCACTAACCATGCTGCAGTCACTCGCGCCCTCTGGTGGTTGTAAAAAAATTCCCAAAGCAGTAAAACGTTAAATTGTGCAATATTAGAATTCTCGGATATTCCCTAAATCTGACAGCATTTAAAAATGCTTGAGTTTATTGAATACATCTATAAAAATAAAAGAGAGTTAATGTCTCCTGGCACCTACTTTCTTAGGTATCATACTAAGTTTTTTCATGATTTTCCAGGTATGAGGTGCTTATTAGTGTTTTTTTTTT